AAAAAAAAAAAAAAAAAAAAAAGGAAAACTGTGTGGAAAGGATGGAGATGAGGGGACAAGTTCTGTGGGAGGCCATGATGTAGGAGTGAGATATGAGACATTAGGGACCTGAATTAGAGCTTTAGTAGAAGGAACAGGAAGAGGTGATGCAAAATATGTGTTATAAGAACAACATGTAAGACTTGTAACTAAAAAGGCATGAGAGGTAAGAAAGAGGTTCAAGGAGGAGTAAAAATTTGGAGTTAGGGTGATTCCATTAAAACTTCAGTAAATCCATGCCCTTTGCTTTATTTTTCTCACTGATTCTATTGGAATACTATAGTTCACAAGAGCAACATAGGGTCTCATACTGAATAAACATAATTGTTAAGTGCCGGCCCCCCCTCCCCGAACATGATTCATGTTGGATGAATTAATGATCACCATAAAAATTGATGCCAAGCTTCTTGTGTAATGTCAATTACAGGTTGAGGAGGTCTAGAGGTTTATAGCAGGCAAGCCTACATTCTTCAGAGATTTTCCAGGTTATGTTTACAGAGGGCAAAAAGCATCCAGGAGTCAGTGCAAAGAGTCTCGACTAAGTTGATTCCTGGCTCTGATTGATTAGTGAGCGGCCTTTGACATGTTACTTAGTGTCTCTCTCATCTCACATTGCTCCTCATTAACATGGGAGTGATGATGGTACCTTCCTCACAAGATATTTGTGAATATATAACTGCTTGTCAATGTGTCCAATATTTTTGCCATTCTCAGGAGCTATCAATTAACATTACCTGGATAAAAAGTTTTAAAAAAAATTGGATATCAAAATATTTGCATGTGAACTTTTCCTAATAGTATGTAAGTGATCATTAAATTCTTTCATGATAGTTTGGATGATTTATTGCCAGATAAGTATAGTATTTATCATAGACGGCAATGTATTCAGTTTTCTTTTTAATTAGTTTTAGAATTGTACTGATAGCCATCATTGATAATTTTAGAGTAATAGTTCAGCTGTTTATTTTTTTTCAAAATTTTCTTGATATATTTCAAAGAAAACGTATTTGTAAGTAGGAAGGAAAATAACAAGCAAGTCAGTCAGATTTCATAAAGTAAGGATTGCTAATGTGGGTCCATGTTTTCTAAGGGGCCCATGAAATCGAAATTGTAAAAAGATGTTATATTTTAAGGCACGTACAAGTTTTGGGAGGATGATGTTCCATGGCTTTTAATCAGACCATCAAGGAAATATCTGATCTAAAAGTTTTAATTTCCAGAAATAGAACAGTAAAAACTCATCTAAATATAAAATTAAGTTTAAAAACAGTTGTAAAATTAAATACAAACAGATGGACAACTCATTTCTTTCATTTCTCTATTTTCCATTGGCTCTCTCATTAAATATGATAGCTCAAAATCATTTTACTCTTGCTTTTACCTTCTCAAGTTGAAAAAAAAAGCACATTTCTAGAAAAATCTGTCCTAAAGTGACAGATATTTCTTTGCAAGCCCTACTAAATAGGTCAGTATGCTTCTTTCATATGGTTCTATGGCAGGTCTGAAATAATAAATGTACTTATTTCACTAACGGACCATCTCTAAATAATTCGGACTATGTGGGTTGGAAGGTGTTAATGGTGAGATGAGTTCTATGCAGTACAACTGTAGAAAATGCCAATCAGTCTACTTCCTATTTCATTGAGATTAGATTATAAGGAATAACAGGAAGCTCTCCTTTGGTAGTATGAATTCCTTTTCTTTACATAACTTTCACATTTTCTTACTTTTTCTGATTAGGTCCCTTCCTCACTGTGACACTGTGTCAGCCTGTCCGGACATGCTATCGTTTAGTCAAGTCATTAAAATGATGATTTTTTGTGTACTCCTAGCTTTATCCACACAGTGTCACTGTTAGGATCTTTATGGGAAAGAATCAGTAGGTTCCACTTCCTTACTGACAGTGCATTTTTATGTAGAAATTCCTGTAGTGAAGATTGTGAATCTTTGCCTTATTCTCTTGCATGCCCAAAGAGAGAATCCCTGAAATGCATTAGAGAAACACTGAATTGTTAATGGTCTGTCAGCAACTGTGAACATTTATTTGTTTGTTCAGGGCTAAAGTTTTACCAGACCAGAGCTCTCTTGGAAACGCTCCTTCCTTTCCTCCCCACATGAAGCATATACTTGGTTTAGGCTATTTTGTGTTTCTTGAAAAGTAAACTCAAGACAATTAAAAATTTCTTAGTGGGATTACACCATGTGTACAGTCTTTTAAATTGTTCATCTTATCTCCTTTCTCCTCTTCCTACTGCCAAAAAAAATATTCAATGTTTCTATATTGAAAAAGTCTAAGAAATATCGTCTACTAATATGAATTAAACCTTGTTTATCTTACATATCTTTACACATTCTTGCTGGCCTTTACGATGATCAGGTTACATCCTAAAGCATGAGACTGAATTATCATAATCTTATCTCAGTTTGGATTGTTGTCTTCTCTTGTCAGGTTAAAAACAACAGATTTTTTCAAACCATGTTATCTCCTATGGTTTCTTGTAAAGCTGTTAGAAACAAGATCTTTAATTTGGGAACATATATTAGCTTTTAGCCTTTCACTCATACTGTAAAAAAGGCTCCATTGTCCCTCTACAAATTGCCTTTTTCTTTTTTCCATCTTTTAAACTAGCTAAGTGGTAAGATCTATGTAAGAATAATACTTAAAATGTCTGTTTTATTGAAAAACATTAAAGTCACCAAAGCACTGATATTGATCCAAGATTTCATTTTTGTTCTCCTTCCTACCGCAGAACCAAATCCTGAATCGAGGACCAAAACAATTCATCAGCATTGCATTTGAACGCATATTTTCACCTAATCATCTGTCAGGAAATTTAAGCTAGCAGGCAGTCAGTAAATTCAGGAACTGACCCATGATGGAGTAAGCCCAGAGGCCATGTGCCCACTTCTCTGCTGGACTGGGAGCGTGCCCAGCAGGTATTATAGTCCTCTGGGAGCTCTAATTAAGTGGACTATCTAAGGAATCTGTCAGGCCAACTCTGTGAGAGTGAGTTATGCTGGATGTGGGTTACAATGTATTTTTATTTTCTATAAGTTTGGTAACTTTGCAGTAAAATTTCTCAGCAGTTTGGCAGCAGCATAATGGGAAGGAGAAGGGGAAGCTTCTAGTCTGACTCATGATCAACATACTGTAAAATGAGCTCACATATTTCAGTAAAGTTCTGAGTGTGTCATACATTTTTGTATTTTTCTTTTATGTTTAACCACCAATTAGTCCACTGATGGTCCTTGCTTTGTTGAATGGAAGCCTAGCAATGACAGAAAAATTCCACTTGAAGTTATGGATTGCTGCCTGGGTCAACCAACCCATAGGAGAGATGGAGCTCGAAGATTGACTGGGCATTTGTGAGATCTGCCTTTTCCCACTCAGCTCTGTAAGGAGCTCTTTATTTGGTCTATCGACTTGATTGTTCTAAATCTAAAAAAAAACTTCTTTTACTAGGGACCTGACATGATATACCATAATGACTTCGAAAGAAACGTTAAACAGTCCATCCTGTCAACGGTGGCTGCCGGGCGCCGACAGACCATGGCAGGTCTTTTTATCAGGTCAATGAGCTGCTAAAAATTGTCTAAGTAGGACCTTGCCATGATAGGCCATAGCGCCTCAGAGGAAGTCATTATAGACTATCAAGTAAACAATACACATTTTTAAAAAAATTACTAATTAGGTTTTGCAGCAATACTTCCCATCCTTAGGGGCTCTACAGTGAGATAATTGACCGCAACGTGAGTTATGCCTCCCCAGCCAAAGGCGTGAAGGTTAATTATCGTGGTGTAGCGCCCCCAGCAAACGGGATCATGGTGATGAGAGGATCACATTGCAGACATATATTGATAGCTATTTTTTAAATACAACTTTTTTGGATGCTTTTGATTAAAGGGCAAAATGATGCCGCTATACTGACAACAACCAGGAAATCCCCCTGCACCCCAAGAAACAGGGTGCTCTGGAGAAAAACACCAGGGAGCTTCTGGTTCAAGAAGTTTGTCAGAATATTTGTCAATAATTATTTCTTGAGATGCCTTTGAATTAGACAGTCCTAAAGTGCCTAATTCCCTAGTGTATTGTCTCATTTTCAGTGTATGGCTTTTAGTCCCCTGAGAATTTTAACATGTTTATAAGAGGTAGATATTGAGCACCTTCAGAACATACAGTCATATTATCTTGTTATAGTAATGTATATTTCTGAATATATGATAAATTCTGAAAAATTTGTTTTTACTCGGAATTTATGATTTAGGGTCTAATTCAATCTCACCATCAATCTACTTAAATATTAGGAGAGCTATTAAGGAGAGGGGTCAAAGCCAGAAAGAGGAAAGAGAAAGAGTGCTGCTGTTTACTCTTAAGTAACTCGATGGAGAAGAACAAATGGTGGGTTGTCACTACCATATTGGAAAATTGCTCAAAAGGATGTCCAGATATCATTTTAGTAGAGTAAAACGTTCAAACTCTAGTATGCTAGTTTGCACATGCATCTAGAGACATAGCTTCATGCCTGAGTGACAGCCAAGACAAACAAAGTGTGTATGAATATAGTAGCCATCTTGTCCTTTGGTAGTGAGGAGACTTGGTGAGATAAATACTCCACACACAAAAAGTGAAATTATACTTTGAAGGATTATTTTAAGTCAATAAATGACCTATTCCTGAAGACATGTGGTGAAGCAAATGAACCTTAGAATTTACTATTAACGTATTACATTTAAATAAATATTTATATCTCCAACTTTACTACTGAATATTAAATTTAATGTTAAATAATTTAATTATTAATATTGAAATTTCTGCATTGAAATGCCTATTATTCTGAGGATGATGTTTTACGAGGTGTTATCCAAAATACCATGAATTTTTGAAATAAAAAATTACAGTAAAAGACATATTGCCATTAATTTCCCTCAAAATACTCCCTCTTACTTCAAACACATCTAGCCTATCATTTTTGCCACTTTCTGAAGCAGTCCCAGAGGTCCTTTCTCCTTAGTGTTTCGTGTATCTTGGTTACCTGGATGTCTTGAATAGCATCAGAATATTTACCTTTAATGGACATTTTAACTTTGGAGAAGAGCCAGAAGTCTCACAATGTCAGGTCTGGTTAAGAAGGTGGATGAGGACACACCATAATGCTTTTAAGAGTCTTTCCATTGGATAGCACTTGGTAGCTGTAGTCACTGTATTTTTTATCATGTTTTCTAAAAACATTTATGAGAGATCACTTCCAGAACTGCTTCAGAAGGTGGCAAGAACGATGGGGTAAACGAGAGGGGAGTATTTCAAGGCCGGTTAATGACAATGTATTTTTTACTGTATGATTTTTTTGCACTTAAATATTCACTGTATATTTTGATCACCTCTTGTTATTGTACTTTTAGGATTTCAGTATTTTATCAATGAGGAGTTCAACCAGTAGAATTACAGCTCTGTTTGTAAAATACAGATCAAAGCATACAAATCACACAAGTTTTTTCTTTCTACATTAGGACAAATAATTGACTTATTTAATTATTTTTCCTCTATTGCATTAACAAGGCAGGTTATTTAAATTGGAGAGGCCAGGTTTTGTATTTTGCTTCTCCTCTTTCGTTGACTCTTAGCTTAGCATTCCTTACCACGTATAATATTATCTAGTGCTTTCTGTAAAGCAGACCCAAATGTTTCACAGACAAGAAATAAATATTTACCTTTCTTGCATAGGAGGAAGTTGAATCCAGCTATTAAATCGGGGATCATACCGACTGACAAAATTCGTACTATGTTTTCCTGTAAAAATACATTTGAGACACTTAAAAATTGTATTCCTTTGTTGATTTGCACAGTTGGCTGTCTTTCTTCCTTCTGTACTTTCTGTCTTCTTCTTCCCCTCCCTCCCTCCCACGCCCCCGCAGTCTTTCTGTTCTCAGGTTTAACAAGCAGATGAATTATGTAGAAGGATTACCCAGCATAGCATGAGAAGTAATCAGTCAGAAGAATGAACATACCACTTTGAATGTTTCCCCCCTTTCACTTTACTGCTTTTGGAATGAGGTATGTAAAAGTAGATCAACCAACCCACAAGCATGTATGTTTCCTAAACTGGTTTTTATCATAGTGTTAGGATAAAACTTTCTGAATTTTGGTGTTTTTATGTTTTAAAAAGAAGTTACTGTCTGTAAATATCAGTTTCAGAGATTGTTTCATGTGCTATCTCTGATTAGACTCTTAAAAACAAACAACAAAAACCCCTCATGTACTCTTTGTTTTTACTGAATAAAACATTTTAAACATTTTTTTTAAAAAGAGAAGTAATGTTCACAGCAAAATAGAAAGCCACAGATTTCCCATATGCTCCTTGCCTGCACACATACCTAATTTTCTCATTCTTAGAACCATTTTCACTGACCCTGGAACCCTACAGAAATAATGCCAATAGCTACAGTAGCAGTCTGAGCAGTCAGCTTTGTGCCCTGCAAGTCGTGTGAGCTTTGTGTGTTTGTCTGGGGGAAGCACAGCTGTTGTGATGGCTGCACAAGCAAATTTGCTGAACGGGGAAGCATGAGCCTTCCGAGCTGCTTAACCAGCTTATTCCCTCTAGTGAGCCTCAGAAGCACTGAGTCTCCACAGTACTAAAATGCATCTTATTTTGCATACATATTGACACCAAAGCAAGAAATGGAAGCAAAAGAGTACATTATATTTTCCACGTGGCACCCGAGATGGTAGTTATGGCAGGCATCTGAGGCCTTGACTCTGAAAGGCTGCCTTTGTTCATATATGTGTGGCTAAACATTCAGACATGAGTAGCAGCTTCGTCATGCGAGTAAATAGTGTGGGTGTGAGAGTGTCTGTTTGTGTGTGTGTGCACACGCATGTGCTCAAATACATACTGAGCATCTACTATGTGTTACCTGTTTAGGTTCTGGACATGTACTGGTATACAAGAAAGACAAGATCCCTGCCATTGTAAAAAATAATGTAATGCCAAGTAGAGAATGATAAAGCCAGGAGTGGCAGAGAGGAGGCCAGTTGGAGTAGTTGGTCACCTGCTTAGAGATGTTTTTTGCAAGATATACATATATCTGTAAAATGGGACTCACAGGAAGTGGCGCAAGCAGGTATAAGATCCCTTGGTTGGTGATGAGTTCTGAAACAGCAATGCCGGGGTGACTGGGTGGAGAGTTGTCATAGTTCAGGACACGGTGTGCCTCGTGGATTGATTTAGGATTTTGTATTTTGTTATAAGAAGAATAGGAAGCCACCGAAGGGTGGCAATGCAGGAACATGTCTCATTTGTCCCTCTGGCTGGTGTGGGAAGAAAAGTGAATAGAAGGCCACTGTAGAAGCAGAGGTACTGTTAGGCTGATGATGGTTTGAATGAAGTTGGAGGTGGTAAGATACGGTTATATTTGAATGCACTGTACAGGCCAAGCAGGGATTGGATATGGGTAGGAAAAAAAGGTGGGCCATTAAGGTCAGCTGCCAAGTATTTAGCCACAGTAATCAAGGGGAAGATCATGCCATTCATGGGTAGGAAAGAGCGGGTACGTGTAGGCTAGAAGCTAGGGGTGGAGAGAAGTTATGAGCTCTGTTTCATACTTAACCTAGAGAGACCTATAGAGTTTCAAATAGGAAGCATCTGGTAGGCTACTGGCTAAGTGAGGCTACAGGTGCAAATTTTGGAGTCATTAGTTCAGAGCTATTGTTTAAATCCATGCAACTAGATAAAAGCACTTTAAAGAGAGGGTATGGAATTAGAAGATAATGGGTCCTGAGAATGACCCCTGCGATAGAAGAAGAAAAACCAACAAAGGGAAGAAGTTTTCAGAAAAGCAGGATGTTTTAAAAGCCAGGTCAAAAAAAAAAAAAAAAAAAAGGGGCTGAGCGACTAAGACTTGACCATAGGATTTGGTGATCTGAAGGGCACTGATGACCTTGACAAATGTTTCGGGGAATTGGTAGGGGTGAAAGCCAGAGTGGGGGCTACTCAGGAGAGACTAAGATTCAAGAAAACAGAAGTAAGAGGATAGGAAATGCTTCTCAGGACTTCTGCAGTCAAAAGAAGATTATAGCTAGAAGATGTAGCACTGAAGGAAAGGCTTAAATCCGTAAATACTGAAAAGTGAGCAGGCATGAAGGAGTGAGAAACAGACGTCAGATTGGACAAGAATGGCATAGAGAGTAGCAGTGAAAGTGAGTGAATGCATTTGATGACAGCGAGATGGAGCCTTTGCTTTCCGATTGCTTCTATTCTCATTTCACTAAGAAGCAAGAATATCAACTGAGAAAGAGAGTTGGGATTTTGGAGAAGGAGGCATTAGAGGAGAAAGAAAAAGTGAAATAGTTATATCGGGGGTTGCCTTAGTGCACTGACCATGGAAATTTGGTGGGGAAGCCTAGCAGTTAGCAGTGGTTGTCTAGTTTTCTTTAAGTTTACATGCTCAGAAGCATGGGAGAAGTGGAAGAGAGTTGGATTTATCCAGGACTAGCACTGCCAGGCAAGTACAGAGGAAAGAGACCGTGTGTGTGTGTGTGTGTGTGTGTGTGTGTGTGTGTGGATATTGAGGCTGCAGGTGCACACACAGAGTGACAATAGGACAGGTAGTCATGGAATCTAAGTTCAGCGAGGATGGTGGTGAGGTACGAGGGGCTGATGGATAGTGAAGTGGTGGTCACGTGAAGGAAGTGGTATTACCAGGAAAATTGTGGCAGGCTCCACATAAAAGACAGAAGGTGGCATAGTCTGAAAATAATCTTCCAAAGTTCCTGGGATTTTAAGCATGTGGGAGTATTGGTGAAGAAGTAGGAGAAAAGCTACTGGTCTTTAATAACATGAAGTATGTGGGGAAAGGAGAGAAACCAGCCCATTTTAGAAAGGATGGCTGGGAAAGCTCAGAAAATATCATGGCTTTGAGTAGAAAGGAAATTCACTAAACCGTTCAGAGGAGAGTGTAACAATTATGCGATTTTGCTGATATGGGCTCAGGAGTTCTAGAGACCATATAGGAGAGTGGAATGGTCAAGTTGCATGTTAAAATTAGTTTTATCTGGAAATACACAGGAAGAGATAAGAGTACTAGGAGGTAAGGATTACCAGAAGGCTTGGATTCCTCATAAGGAGGCCCCACATCATGGAATGATTGTCTCGAGTTGGATTAAGAATGAACTTATAATCATTTTCCTTGTAGGAAAAATATCATTTCTTTTGTGGTACCGGGGATTGAACTTGGGGCCTTGTGCTTGCGAGGCTGACAGCAGAACCACTGAGCCTAAGCCCTGGCCCAAAAATATCATTCTTGATAGTCAAGTTCCAAGAGGAATTCTCAAATGCATCTGAAGACTAGTCATGTTCATAGGAGGGTAGAATATATTCCTCATGATAAGAATGCTTCTTTATGAAGTCTGGTTTGCTATTTCCATATGAAAGAGGACGTATGCCTCCTATCAGTAACTGGGCAGAGACTGCTTTCCTGTGCTAAGCAGCAGTGGTAGGAACAAGTCGTGTTCACTTCTGGATATAATGCTGATGGCCTTGGCTCAGAGAAAAGGTTCACACAGTCTGGTGTTATATGGATGTGAAATGAGGAAAAGGTTTCCAGAGGCAGGGCCAGAAGTCAGAAGGAGAGACAGGGATAGAGGACGAGCATTCAAAGGTGGTAAAGCAGGAATAGAGAGGATAATGAACCTTAGAAAGAGGGTGTTGAGTGGAACAAGGGAGGTGAGATGAAACGGGTTATTCAGTCCTTCCTCACGTCAACCACTGAGACTTTCCCAGCAGCTTGACAGTGATGGCATTTACAGCAGAATTGTAGATTATCCTCCACACATTCTATTTCTTCTTATCCTTTGCATTTTCTTTCGGACTACTCCTTTACTTTTGAGATCTGCGGAAGCCATTGTTGACGAGCATTTGCGTGATATGGCGCATGAGTCAGGAGCAGTAATTTCCAGCCAGTGATCGAGGGGAAAGAAGTGGGAAGGAAAGAATTCTCTCATCAGCAGTTATTTGGGGAGTCAGTCATTAGTAAGTGACAAATGGAAATTGGGTTCCTGTAGGTGGGGCACTGATAGAACATTTACATATTTATTTGAATATTATAATACATTCCTGTCAGTAATGGCACAGAATTGATATTTACAATGCTCCTGAGTAAGGAGACTTCTATATGTATCTGCTTATGCTTCCAGTAACTAATATGTTTCCTGACTTCAAATTTTGGTCTGGCAATCAAGATTGTCAATAAATAAAATTGCAAATTTGTTCAGTGGCACATATTTGTGTTTTATCAGCAAGTATTGAAACTCATAATTTTGTATTTCATTCACAGACACACATTTCAGTGAATATTTTAATAAGAACTAAAATTTGCTTTAATATTTCATCTTTGGAACTGACATGAATATCATGCTTGAATACATGTATTTGAAATTTTTTTACCCTGTGAACAGTTATATTGAAACATGTTATAGATTGTTATTTTTTATACATTTTGGTATTAATTTCATGAAATATGTGAACATCTCATATTTCTGAGATGGTTGAGTCCTTTCATGGATTTCTAAATGTGGAATGAGAAGGAATTCTTGAAAGTGGGAGCCACTTTTGTGGTTATACACTGATTTAATTCAAATGATCAACGGCAAAAACATGATTGCTCCTGCTATGGTTGACCAGATGGATGGAGTAGCAATGTAATATAGTTGTTGAAGACTAAGGCTGTGGAGTCAGACGGACCTAGATGGAGATCATTCAGCTTCTTGTAAGCTGTATCCTGGCTAGTTACGTAATCTTTTTAGGCTTAGTCTCTTGATAGTAAAATGTAAGCTCTTACAGAACACAGCTCACAAGACAGTTGTGAAGATTAAATGAAATGATGCAGGCATGTGCTTAGTAAAGTTTCTGGCTAAAATGATGAACACTCTAGTAAATACTGCCAGTAATACTCCAGAAGTCTACTGTGCTTGACCAGATAGATGGAATATGAAGCCCTATGAAAAAAAGTTATGGGGTTGTGGCAGATTCTCTCAGTATTTAGTCCAGATCTCCTTATAGGGAATGTGTCCCACTCCCTAGCTGTAGTGTTGGCTGCTCCTGGTCATGGCTGTGTCCCTTCAGCTGAACAGGCCATCTTGCCGTCCATCCACCCTCATCCTCCTCCTGGAGAAGACTTTAGCCAAAGACTGCCTGATTGATATGGGACACCAAAGGCCAACTTACTTGCCTTGGGGACAGCCAATCCTTTCTATTTAGGAGAGCCACGTCAGTGGTTCATCTGGGCAAAGGGCCCAGATCTATGCTAAATGACATCAAGTGCCAAAAAAGTCTGGGATAGAATGACACAGCTTTCCATGTGGACATTTCCAAAATTAGAAAAGGAAGCAAAGAGAGAGAGAAAGAGAGAGAGAGAGAGAGAGAGAGAGAGAGAGAGAGAGAGAGAGAGCGCCATCAGGTCTATATTGAGACTAAGAGTATAATTAAAACAAAAGCTTTGATAAAATTTAACTCTGGGCTTTCTAGTGGTAAAAGCAAAGAGCAGAGGCATAGTCAGGCACACAATTAGCATGAGTGATCATTATTTTAAAAACAGATGAGAAAAAAAAAATCCCAAAAAACAAAAACAAAAAAACATACGATGCTTCAGCACTTTGCTTTGGCAAGAATTTATCACGTGAGTCTGTACATGGAGCACACCGAGCTCTGACGGTGAATCGCATCCCTACAGTCAGGGCAGGTGTGGGTCTTCAGGAGTCTTCTCTTAGCATAGTCATGCAGGGCTTCAAATCCAATTGCCGCTTCTCTCCGAGGTGAGTGGAGGAAAATCAGCAGAGTCCAATGGTAGAGTTTTATGAGGAGTTTGCATTAGCGCCAGAGTAAAAATCTTGATCCTCAGAACTTTAAAGAATATGTTCTTTAAACTCTGCCCTATCTCCCACCCAGTTCTCTTGGATGTGTTTTTGATCTGAAGTTGAAGGGCAAGCAGGTACAGGTCATTTTGGGGGGCTAATCATGAGGAGCAAGTTTTTCTGAATAACTGACTAAGGTAAGATTTTTAGGAATGAGAGATTCATAGTGTTTTTGAAAAACTGAGTTGGACCAAGACTGGATATTTTAGCAGAGACTCAGGCCACTTAGGAAGTTGTAGTTTGAATTAGGACTTCTCAACCTTCAAACATGTCATGTTTTAGCGTTGAGCTGGCCTTCTGAAAGAATGTTCTGCGGATTTTTTGAATAGATAAACCTGATGGTTGTGCAAAACGTTTCATGCAGTCCCCATCCTTGCTGGGGAAAGCTAAATTAAACAGAAAATGGGGAGTTTACAGTGGATTGTATGTAAATCACGGTCTTCTGGTAACACACAAAATCTGTCCTTATGAAGGTAAGCTAGAGCAGAGATGTTACATATCATGCTTGCTCCTGTTCTGAATATGTTTCTCACAAAACTCCAGGAATCACCTCTTTCCTGACACTGGGAAATGAGACATAATAAAGCTTCATCTTGGGAAAGAATAACAGCACTCCCCTCGCCTTTCTTAAAAGAAATGTGGGTGGCCTGGATTGTTTTCCTTTGAGATTTTCTAAAGTGAACAGATGTAACCATTTTTCTACAATTTGCCTTGGTGCAGATGCTGAAAGAGAGCACTCACAATAAAATATATGCTGTATATGTAATTTCAGCTGGATGTTCTGGGGTTTTAAAGTAAAAATGTGTACCTGCAAGCTGTTTTATGGTTTCTCAGTCATAATTATCTCTGTTACACAGAAGGCTACAACTGCAACTCCTCCTCCATGTGCAAGCTTTCCAAAAATATCTTGATAATTTTGCATATTCTATAAGGCACAGTGTTCTCCTTGAGTTTGTCTTGGGAAGTGTGTTAACAGGTTTACTTTCTCTGTACAGTGCATTTATGAAGTCATCACTCGCATGGGAGGATGGCTGCTGACCTAAGGGCGAAGCCCTTGCCGGAGGTGCCAACCTGAGATGGTGCTTCAGTAAGATCTGCTGCGAAATAACCAGCTAGAGTTACATGTGGCATGACTAGGCATGTTGCATACTGATGGCAGCCACATTATCACATTGATAAAATGGAAAGAAAGTGGTGAGGATTCTTAACAGCTGCAGCTCACTACCTTCCTCTGGGGAGTTGTGCTGATGCTGTGGTTTTCCTCAGGGAGGGAATGGCCAGGGAGAGAGGCTGGACATCCCGGGAAGCCAGCTCCCCAGCATCCATGAGTGATTGCTTTGCTACGTCTGTCTTCGGTTAGCTCTGTGATTGACCTTCCCTCTCACTGTCAGCCCGATTTCTTGACTACTGCATTTGACCCTATTGCACAGAGATAGTGTCCACACTAATTCCAAAAGGGACCGACTAGGACTTGTCGAGCACTACTGCGGTCTCTCAGTAGGACCTGTGTGAAAAGCTTGGTTTTCAGGACGGTGCTGTGGGGAGGTGGTGGAACATTCATGACTGGGGAGCTTTGAGGGTGGTCCTTAGTTCATTGGATCCATGTACCCAGAAGGCATTGTGGCACCCTGCCCGCCTCCTCTCTCTCTGGCCCCAATTATGATGTGGCTGTGCATGTGCTCTCACCAAGATGAGCCACCATCGGGTGCCCTGCCCTCACTGTAACTGAGCCATGCAGATGCCATGTCCCAAGAGCTCCAAACCTGTGTGCTAAATAAAACTTTTCTCTTGAAGGCTGGTTGCCTCGGGTATTTCATTGTAGTATGTGAAGACGACTAATACAACACCTACAATTTAAATTGTTCAATAGTTACCATTCGGATTCCATTGGTCCTCTCCGCCCAGCACGAACAAGAAATTTTCTACCTCTACAACGCAGTGGTGAGCACTGTTGTATGGCATAACTGGAATTAAGAAAAAAAATAAAGACGTGAACTTTTCAACATCTTACGAGATTTGATGCCTTGGCTCAGCAGCTATTTGCTTCACCAGAGTGTGTAAAATGTGAGCCTCCACCTGAAGGAAGAAGATGGCAGAGGCAGCAGAGAAGCTACCCACCAATCCGGTGATCCTCACACACATGCTCAGTGGTGTGTGCCCAGAGGCTTCAGACCCAGCCCCTTTTGATTAATTTTACATAATGTTATTCCACAAATTAGTCAAGAACAACCTGCCATGCTGCTTTCGATTCTTAAGTCCTCTTCACCTGCTGCATGATGGGCATGGCTTTCTAAAACAATGGCTGGCACTCCCAGATGGCCAGGGCTGGCAGTTACTTCTCGGAAGAAGAGACCCCGAATATACTCGGAGCCATTACGATGTTCTGCCCAGACTTAGTTTGCTGGCAGTCTTTCCACAAACAGACTCAGGATGCTGGGTAGCTTTCTATTCCACAGCAATGAGCAAGCTACATTTCCATACAGTTTTAAGTTTTTAAATTAAGATCCTGCTGATTTAATGCCTTCTCCAAATGTATACGCTTAATTTCCTGTACAATGTCATTAGCAGCACAATCACACATTTTCTATCTATCTGCATAGGAGCTCTTCTGTAACAAAGATGAAAACTGTCAGGAGCATCACAGATATCCACTTTCCAACCTCTCCCTTCTCCCTGTGCTATGGTGGTGGCTTTGAAGAGGGGGTATTGTTCTTAACCCCCAAAGCCCGGTTTCTCTGTATTTGTTCTCAACTCTATCCCTTTTGGGGAATCGTAATGAGCAGCACAGTGTACCTCGTTACCTTTTGTGATGTGCAGTCCTCGTTGCTGCTATTATGGGATCAAAGGGTAAATGTATGCAGCATTAGTTATAATAGCGCAAGCAGTGCTTTGGGCCCAGTGACACCAGTAGGAAAAATGATGTCCTTGTTCAGCTCATCATATGGGCACCTTAAATCTAGGTGAGGACAAATGGGGAGGTGATGCGCATGTTCAGGCAGGGAACTTATTGCTTGACACGGATCAACAGAGCACTTAAGAAACCAGTGCAGTGGGAAATCAATATGAGTCCGGGCCAACTCTTACTCTGTGCTGTTTTGCCAATGCAGAAAGAGAGAGAGAAAAGAGAAGAGAGGGGAAAAGAGAGAGGGGAGAGGGAGAGAGAGAGAGAGGGAGGGAGACTATGTTACACCTGGCTCACTTTGGGTGCTATATATCTTTCATTTCAGTTTGCTTAATTTTTCTCAGAAAACACTTCTACTGAGTAAGTAAAATATAAAAATAAGTTTCTCGTAAAAATGAAAAAAACTGGCACAGCTTTGGGAATGGTAAGTCAGCAAATAGTTCTGCAAGAGCAAATCAGACCATTCAAACTTCTCACCAAAGAACGCTAGTTTTGATTAGTTCATATTTACTTCAAATACTCATTGTTTTCTGCGGTTATATCCATAAGGGAGAAGGTATCGATAGGCACTCAAACCCCTGAGTTTTGAGGGTGCTGACGAGACTGGGTTTGTGTGGTCCATGGATTAGATCAACGGATTTAGAGCGTCCTCTCGGGAATGCCCTTAACCCCTCAGTCCTGTCTATCTCCTTGGAGAATACTTTCAACTCTATAGACCCTGTTGGCTTCACCACACAGAATTCATCGGGGCACAATGTACGGGAGTTCCATAAGCAACTAAGGTTGATTATGTTTTAAAGTTTTTGTTTTTAGTTAATTTGCAGCTTGAATTATTCTGCTGGTTTCAAAAAACAAAACCTGTCTGCCACTGTAGTATACTGTGAATAGTCTGTGCTATGCCAGTTCATCCTAACTCTCTCTGGCCATGTAAACCCTTACAACATTACTTGTGACCCATATTTATCAACTCACACGAGGCACAGCACAGGGTCAGAGACCACAGCCAACCCACCCCTCGTGTTCTTATTTTGCACTGTTTTTTAGCCCAATGCCTAAATCTTTGAAAATAATGAAAAACTGTATTTTCTTCTCTTTAACCACAAGTCCAGCTTCATAATAAAGCACAACCTCTGAAAATATAACAACACTTATGTTTTGCTCTTACCATTCATTTGCTTCTATTCAAGCAAGCAGAAATTAACTAAAAGACATAATACATGATTTATTTTTAAGCCTCTTTCTCATGTGATTACCTCTATTGTTGTGCTTTATGCAAATAACTGAAACTATTGCACTAAGCTAACTATTAAACTCTTCACAATAAGAGAAAGGAAGGTTTCTGAAATCCTTATATAACAACTACTGGAAGGCGTTCTCTGATCTACCTATTTTTACTCTTATTTTAAAATAGCGTATGCTATATTTCTTGGTTGAGCATTTTAATATTCTCACTCCTGAATTATTTTCAGAAGTAGTACCATGAAGTATGGGGCTACAAACATATACAACTAACTCTTTGAAATTATTTTGAGTACAAAATGTTCCCTAAAATTTACTCAAAAAATTTATAGCAAATCAATGACCGAATTTTGAAAAAAAAAAACCTAATTTCTCATTAAACCTATAGGAAAGCAAAATAAATAGGGCAATGGGGAAGAGTACATGAGTGTTTCAAATGGCACTGGGCACTGGTGCTATGATTCTCCTCTGAATAACACTGGCTCCGTCCCCTGCCTCCGTCCGGATTTCTCCGGAGTAGGACACACCTGCCTTGCCCTCGCAGCAGGTAGTGGAGGAGGTTTGTACTCCGTGTGTATGTACAGCCCAGTGTGAGTTTTTAGCGTGTCAGTCAGTGAGTCAGAGGGAAAGGGGAAAGAGAAGCTAATCAGGATGAAATGAGATTAAAGGCTGTCTAATTTTACAGCAACTGTGATCCATCAGCCACTGTGAAAGTGACAGTGGAAATGAATGATGGAGACAGACAGGTGGGGCTGTCCATTTCACTGATTTACCCTCAAATGCACTGGGCCTTATTTTATTGAGTGAACATGACCGCATTTATCACGACTGTCATCTAAAGCCACTTCCCTCCATTTAAAAAGGTCACTTTACTCAGAGGGAGTAGGAGAGAGGCTCTTGCAAATCAGCTTTAAAATCTAGGAACACATGTTTAGAAAGCCCTTTGCGAGAATTCTCAACTTTATTAAACAAACTACTAGAGCTAGAAAGAAAGAAGAAAAAAGCCAGAAAAATAAAAACAGAAGACAGATTTGGTCATCTGAGGGAGCACCTTCACAGAGTCTCTACATGCGAGGCAGTTTGTACCATTTTTGCCTCTCCTACTCCAATCACCTGACATTCTGTTCTAGTCTGGGGAATTACAGGAAACATTTACATTTAATATTTTAAATTAAGAAAGTAGGTAAGCCGGTAATACTATCAAATAATAAACTGGGAGAGGATCAGTCGCAGTATTTACTCTGTAGAATGAGTAATCATCGCACATGAGATAGATGTTAGCAACTGGTACAAGCTGATCTCTGCTACAATTAACTTCTATACCTGTTAATTGTTTTCCCATCATTCTACGGCCATAAAAATCTCAGTCACACAAAGTCTTTTATCCCTTCCCATACCAGTGCAATAAAACATCTTGGAGTGTTATGCGCAGAATTATTCTTCATGGGTATGAAAATGGAGATCAAACCTTCAGAAGTATTATGTGTTGCTTTTCACAATGACAACCACCATTTACTATGTCCCATATACATGTAAATTGACTATGCAATTGTATTTCATATTTCCCTGCACTATATCTCTGAAAGTATAATATCACTTGTGTTTAGCTCTTGCTACTCTTTTGCTTCTATTCAGGCAAGCCGAAATTAAGTGACTGGGATAATTCATGACATTATAATACATAATAAAATACGATCCTACATACATTTATTTACGTCTTTCCTTTAACACAATTAACCACAAAGCAGACATTGCTCATGCATTTTATTTCTATAAGAAACACTGAGGCCTTGAGAGGCCAAGTCACTTGTTGAGGGTCACACACAGTTCGTGAATGGCAGGGATCAAATCCAAACACAGGCATATCCAAACCCCAGCCCACACTCTTCTCCATTTCACTCTACTGATTTGCAGTAGGTGTGTTTGCCCAACCAGCAAGTAATTACTGAGTACCTGAGTGTTCGGTGATGAGGCTCCTGAAATTTGTATGTAATTTTTATACTGAATCATATTTCAACTGTGTTTATTAGTTTGATATTTAAAGGAATCCTTAAAATAAAGCAAGTAGGCACCCCTTTAAATATTTTCCCCTGTAAATCTAGGCATTCACATAGTCGGTTTTCTTATTAGAGTACTTTTGTTTGATGAAGTCAGGAACACACTGAGCAAAGCATCCTGTGAAGGTTGGATGAAGCCCATCTGTACAGAGCTATTACTATTATTTTAAACAATCAGTGCCTGTTTTGACCTTGCAAATGGATTCATGGTTTCAGTGGACACAGAGGCCTTTACCTGGCGCAGGAAATGTCCAGGAGGCTTGTTTGTGTGTCTGATGGACTTAGTCTGTTTTTCTGGAGACCCACACTACTCTGTCTCAGCCCACGTTTTAGCTAAGGAGTAGAAATCTCTTGCAGCAGAAGGTATAGGTATCCTGAGCAACCCACACATTTTCATAAATGCCCAACGGAGAGACCGTGTAGGCCCATAGTAAGAGTTTGGAACGGCTAATTAAGTGGCTATTGAATGCTCATCTTTTAGGGATAACAGTTAGAAGGGCCTTGAGTTCTTTCAGGACTCAAATGCATAAACTTGCCAAGCTGTTCAAAATGATGCTTCTTAATATTTTTGAAGAAGCGATTAAATATCCTGGTAAAAATAGAACCTTTTGAAGGGATACACAGGCCCAATAAATTTGCCTGCTCTCTCTGACCTTAGAGGTTCTGTTTTCTACCATGGGGGCCATCACTGCTGCTGTGGTCCTTGGTTTCCCTCCCACAGAGATTATTTATGCGAACCATTTTTCTCTAACACGATAGCACCAGT